AAAAAAAAAAAAAAACATTGCTATGATCGCTAACGAACGAACGAACAAAATCGTTACGCATCTGTAATTTTTCCGCAGTTGAACACAGAAATGAAAAAAAGAAAGAAAAAACAAATACACCCACCCACGCGCACACACACATACACACATACACACACAAATATATACATACATATTCAAAACATTCGCAAACGTACCTATATAAAGAAGAGCCGTGAGGATTTTGAGTGGAAATTGTTAGCTTTGTAATTTTGCTCCTAGCGTCCCATAGTCTGAATTCTTTGTAAGAGAAAACGCAATAAAAAGATTTCCATTATCCATACTCCTCCGATCCTTTTATCGTTATCCTCAATTCGTTGACATATACGCTAGTAAAAGACATTTGATTCGATCAAACGATCAAACTTCCTTTTCACGTCGTAGTAGAATCTCTGACAATACCTGGAGATAATCTTGTCAGATAATAACGATAAAAGATCACGTCAAAGATTTTAATCGATTAATATATAATTAATTACATTTTACTCGTGCTAATATACATATACATATATATAAATTAAATTTACATCAAACGATGGAGAACAAAAAATTGCACGCTCTTTACGAAACTTATACGATAAACGTAATCGTTATTGATTACTTGCAAAATGAAATTCGATGATATTGTAACGAGAATGAAATACATTTTTAAAATCCTTCTTTTTAAAAAAAAAAAAAGAAAACAACGACAAATTCAAATAGCCATCATAATCGACGTATTATAGTACATGCCGTAGAATTCGATGGAAAAAAAAAAAAAAAGAAAAACAAAATCAAAAGGAAACTTTTCTAGATAACATAGTTAGTCAAAGTTTGTTGAACACATAATTGGAACCGATCTCTTTTGTGGCCTCTTTCTTCAACAAATTAAAAAAAAGAGACAAAAAAATAATAGCTACAATCTTAAAGTCTCTTTACCGTTCCTTTAATGCAAGGAAAAGAAATCGAAGACGATAGAAACGAGACAACGTTGACGTAAAGAGTGTAAAAAAGAAAAAGTATAATACTACCTAACAGAAAGTTGAAATGGTTGATAAGAAGAAGCAAGTTACCTAGCTAGCCAGTCAACCAACCAACCAGCCAGGTTAAATACGTTAAAGAACGACACTCGAGTTTCCTCCCCATCAACCCCCTCTTACCCTCATCACCCTCTCTCTCTCTCTCTCTCTCTCTCTCTCTCTCTCTCTCTCTCTCTCTCTCTCACACTATTTTTAAATCCAGCATCGAGTTATTCTCGCGAACGTGTGACGGCTCCGATCGATAAGCTCCAAACTGGTAGTCTCTTTCACTTCTACCAGCAACCCTCTAACTTCCATCCCCCCCTCCCCGTTGCTTCCCCATCTACACCACCACCACCACCAGCTCTATCAGCAGTACCTTCACAGTCAGTGCTCAGGGCACCCGTGGCTTAAGAGGGAGTAATTATCTGCCACGTTCGTTCTAGTCCTGGTTGGTACGAGTGACGAGGGCCTTAAAATGCCTCTTACAGGCCACACTTCCACTACGTTTCTTCACCCACAGTAACTCTCTCTCTCTCTCTTTCTCTATCTATCTTTCTTCTTCAACCTCTTTGCCAGTTTCCTATCCAACCAAACGGGGCTTTCTTTTCCCCATTCTCGCCTCCTTCAACGTCGATCAAGTTGGATACTCTTCTACGTTTCACGATAGAAAGCTCAATGGATCGATTCGATCTTCTTTTTCACCTTTCTACCACTTTTTGTTGTTTTCTTTTTTTTTTTTTTNCCTATCCAACCAAACGGGGCTTTCTTTTCCCCATTCTCGCCTCCTTCAACGTCGATCAAGTTGGATACTCTTCTACGTTTCACGATAGAAAGCTCTATGGATCGATTCGATTTTCTTTTTCACCTTTCTCCCTTCTTTTTTTTTTTTTTTTTTTTTTTTTTTTTTTTTACTTCTTCTTTTCTTTTCTACTAGTATTACCTACCGCAGTAATGAGGAGATCAAGATAACGATTTTATATCGATCGAAAGGATAATGATCGTTGACGGATCGTTGCTATAATTGTAAAGGATATTTCTTTTTTTCTTTTTTTAAACAGCTTTAATTTAATATAAAAATTTATATATATATGTATTTAAGTGATTATAAAGAATTTAGATCTAGATGTTACTCTTACTTCATTGATAGAGACACATTTAGCGTGATTTATGATTTGTATTTAATTTAAAATTTTGATTTTTAACATTATTTTTGATGTTTTGAGCCAATACTACTATACTATTATTATACTTTTATCTACCTTCAGTGCGTTACAATTACAATGATAAATTTAATAATGATTACATAATTTTATTTTCTATTTTGTTTCATTTATATATTGTATTACACTGTAATTAATGGCCTTAAGGTAGCTTAGGCTCTAGGTTTAATAAAATATAATTAAATAAATAATAATTTACAAATGAAATATATAACAATTGAAACGAGAGAAGGGGAAAGAAAACATTTAATAGAGTTTAAATAAAGATTTAAAGAAATATACGGATAAACATATTTAAACAAAACAAAAAAACAAGAAAATTAAAACAATAGATACGTATATTCGAATACGAATGAAAACAATTTTCTTAAATTTTAATCCCAGGTAACATTTTGTACAATACTAAAAATATGAAAACTTCATAATAAACACGCCGTATACTTGAATAATACAGGAAGGAAGGCTTTTAAGTTTAAATCCTGAAGAAATAATACAATAGTGGAATGACGAACAAAGCCGAGCGCAAAAAAGATCTAACTTTGGATCGTGGTATGTATATATATTCGCGTGCTTTAAAATATCTTCCCTCGTATCTTATTGCCAAGCGGTAACAGTTTCCTCGTGACTTCTTGGTCTCTCCTTAACCAACCCTCCCCCTCCCCTCCTCCCTCCCCCACCAACTTCCTCCCTTCAACCCCCTACAACACCCTTCCTTCCCGTTGTCTCAAACCAACTCAGACTGTCTTGAGACTTCTGTATCAAGTAACCGGTAAATACCAAGGAACTTTAATTAACCGTCGAGGGAACTTGAAACATTTTTGAAAACTTTTTAGTTTAGTTATTTTCTCTCTCTCTCTCTCTCTCTCTCTTTTAGTAGTATACGCAATAATCCTTACCGAAGTATTTCTTACTCTTCAACGTCTTTCATTATCTTTTCACCTGTCTTTTCCTTTCTTAATCCATTACGCACGCGTACGATTATTATAATAATTATTAACGGTAAAATCAATTTCGTTGATGTAACAGACATTACGCGTTAAAAACAATACGAATAAAATTAAATTACAATATATATACGATTAAATTATTCATATATGTTTTTTTTATAAGAATAATAATATAATTATCGATAT